ATCAGGGTATAATGGTTTTGTTAAAATGTATGTAACAGGCAGAAGGAGGCGTGGACCCCACAAAGGATATACATACATATATTCTTGATCAGGCCGATGAGCTGAGACGATTTAGCTCTGTCCGTCCGTTTGTCAGTAGATATAAGAGCTAAAGACTTCAAAAATGTCCGTATACACATATAGCGCGCATATCGAGTTAATCTAAACAATCGATAACGCATCCCGTTATTTAGTGATCGATTAAAACCCTTTATAAATTTTCATAGAGATAGTTCATTCACAAGAGTAGAGCTCCTAGCTACATATGTACATACATGAGCTTTTGTGTGGCTGTGCTGGAAACTCTTGCTGCCAGTAGAACTTGGTCGGTCTTGTGAAGTGAGTGCAAATATTTTCATAATTGAATGTATAAAATGCGATTCAGTAGCTTGTCAATTCAAAATGGCTGGAAGACTGTCAAATTGATCTTATGACTTACATGCGATAGTATTTTTGGCAATAAAGAGTATAACTTGTATGACATGTGTATTCCACTTAAGGTTGTTATAGTCCACAAGAGCGGCCAATGATAAGTTTATATCGGCTTTTATTTCTACGTTGTTTAGTAAAAGACAACAGATGGCAATATTAAATGAGATGGTGTTTAACATTTGGCCCCACATTCATCGCCTTCACAAATGTCGCACAGCTTCGATTCGACTTGGTAATATTCTGTTGCCTTCCTGTTCGTATCGTAGTAATCATAGAGGACAATGGGGGCGGACTTCTGATTGGCGACAGCATGAGTCCTGATCGCTTCGATCGGTAGGCACTTGATTTCTCCCGTGGTCAGACTCTCAAAGTAGATGACCAATACAGAATACTCATTTTTGGTTTCTATCAGCTGCGTAAGAGAGAACAATAATAATAAAACCCGAACATCGGATAGATGATGATTATTCGAGACCTACACTGACGCGTCCGATATTCCATATGTCTATTAAAATATCCTCATATACGATATAGCCGGAGGGTATATGCATTGGCCTTGCCCTCCTCTACATACTCAAGTCATACATTGAGGTTTAGCTTGGCTGGGGGCGATTCCGGCTTAATAACAGCTTCAATCTTGAAGCTGGGCTTCGGTTCCTTCTCGACAATATTGTACTGGTAGCTTATTTGTAGCAGAGCAGCGCCAGTTCCCTTCGCCTCGTACGACAGGGACTTGGTGCCTTGAGGGAACTCCACGGTTTGTAGTAGCAAATTGTTATCTTCTGTCAGGCTGAGCCTCTCAGTCTTTTCCCACTGACCATGATTGGAAACGGACACGTCCCACTTAGCTGGCTCATAGCCGGACGTCTTGGCGAACTGTATGAGGGCCTGCAGGCCAACCACCGTATCCTGCGAAGAAGCAAAACCCCCAAAGCTGTTCCTCTGTGCCACCAGCCAGCGAATCGAATTAAGCAACGAATCGGGAGTCACCTGGCCCGATTCCAACAGCGAGAGCACTGCATATGAAGTGATTTCTATGTCATGACTCCGCACCCAGCACCACCAGCGAGCACATTTTCCGGAGCGCAATTTTTGTTCATCTTCCGTCCACCAGTTGCGATCTTCCTCGTGCTTGGCAAGGGCTTTGAGTGCAGCCACATGCTTGGCGGCATCTGGAGACTTGGCCCTCTGCAAAG